GACGCTCTAGCCACTGAGCTAAACGGCTGATAGCCACAGCGACGAAAATCTTAACGTCTTCTTTCTACATTGTTATTTCGCGTCAATTTCGCGTAAATTGTCAAAGTTATAATCACAAATAAGATTGTTTTCTTTCTCATAAACTTCATACTTACATACAATAGTTTGTTGTCAAATGTTCTTATTTTTTTTTTATTTTGTATAATATTACTAGAAAGAAAATGACTCGATATTCCAAATCGTCATTCACGTTAAAATGTAATAATGAATTGAGGTAAAAATAAACCTTTCAAGTGATCAATTGGCGAATTTTCACTCCCCGTGAATTAGCGATTTAATTAATTAATCTCCAGCTCTTAGCTTTTTGTCCATTTATGAATATTTAAGGTCACCTTTCGGATTAAAAGATAATTTAAAAAAAACGTGCAAAGTAATTTGAGAAATTTAGCCACCGGCCTTTGACATTTGTAACAACCGTAAAGTTGCAGGTGCGTTGTCTCACTCACCAGGCGAAACGTTAATGTTCACGCCGATCTTCTGTGAGGTCGTAGTACCTACCCGGACGGACCTGCCTATTCGTGAAAGAGCGATGGGTATATTCATCATCATTATCATCATTTCAGCCTGTTTGAGTCCACTGCTGAACATAGCCCTCGCCCATAGACTGCCACAAAGCACGATCCTGAGACACCTGCACCCATCGACTTCCCGCACATTTGCACAGGTCTTCACTGCATCTAGTGGGGGGTCGTCCCACACTGCGATGGCCAGTACGAGGCTTCCACTCGAGAACCTGTCTTCCCCAACGGTTATCGGTTCTACGAGCTATATGGCCGGCCTATCACCACTTCAGCTTACTAACCTTCTGAACTATGTCACTTACCTTTTTTCTTCTGCGGATGTCTTCGTTGCGAACTCTATCACGCACAGAAACGCCGAGCATAGCCCGCTCCATAGCTCGCTGATGGAGCTGGTCTGTTATGTGGCGATAAACAAACAACAACATCATTACATCTATATCAAAAAATATTTAACATCATTATATACTCATCACATCTCAACCGAGACTCATTCGGGGAAGTACCGCCCACTGAAGACGGCGTAAAGTGGAAGTAATAATACTTTTGCGTTTCGTCTGGTGAATGAGATAACCTTTGCCCACTATTTTAAAGGTTGGTTGCAGGTAACGCATCTGCAACCCTTAAGGTGTTTAAAATGTCCATTTATGGTGATCATCAGTTCAGGAAAGTCGGCAGCTCGCTTGCGACCTTCAGAAGTAAAAACAGAACCAGATCACCATCTCTTTTTTCATTACAGTTTCCAACCACAAGCACATACGGATGAAAACTGTTTTTGTTAACGGTATTTTTCTTTTTCTATATGACATAATAATCCGACAATACAAATATTATTTAGTTTATCGTATTAACTGGTTACACTGCGGTGAATAAAAAAGACGTTTTGGGTAGAAAGAATATATACAAATAGTTATATATTTGATCGAAGCTTTGCTTTGTGATCATGTGATAAAGAATCTCTGTGGCAGGTTTGAAGTATTTGGACAGTTGTAACCTATTCCTCACAGTCACCAATCAGTGATGCAGTGTTCACTACTTCGTTTTTCGGGTTCTTCCCATGCTTGTGCCTCTGCTTGAAATTATGCTAGCGACACGACCACTATTTTCAAATTTTAAACTAAATAATTAGTCGAATCGAAAATGAAACTTTTTTGTCTACGCTGCTACTCCAACTCTAACCGGACTACTAGTAGAGGTCCTAAGGGACAATAAGATAAATGTACGGTCACCGAAACGGCACCCAACTTGTTGCTCGTTGTGTGTACTGTCGTCAACACAAATGTACCTGTATATGTCATTACAAAGAGTTTTTGAGTTTGCAAGTTCTTCTCTGGATGGTTCTAAATTATTGAACCAGTTTTTTTTAGAGTTTAAATTAGTCTATGTTGAATAGAGAATTTTTGACTTTGACCTTTTATAAGGAATAATTATTTGGTAAAGTCTTAAAGTTAATTTAGTACTTTAACAATTCAAGTCTATAATATACACACATATAGAAAGGAAGTAGATAAAGAGATATACATTCGTTGTTATTACAATCTTGAGATAGTGATTTTTGCATCTAGGAAAAATCAATCGCAACCTTTGATCTCAAATCCATTACTACCTTTATAAACAAAATATACTTTTATACTCGACTGTAACAATCTCTATTCGGACGTCTATTAAGAGCCAACGTCGCTCAATTCAATTGTAGAACAGCCGTCAGAGATGCGGTGGGCACTTCGCACCGTATTAGCATTTCATTGGGTCTATATTGTGCATTTAAATATCACAAAGTAAGTTATAGTGCAGTAGTTCTGACTTTCTGAGTGCATACTTTACGAGAACAGTTTTGTTTAACGCATGCTCAAACAGAAGTCATTTCATTTTGTTTTTGAAACTTTAGCCATTTATTTATTAAACAGAAATTAAAACAGAAGTTTAGTGTGGATAATAGGTTTAATTGATATCTCAAAGGCAAATTTAAAAAAAAAATTGAGTTCGTGAGTTCATTTTATAGTTGGCGCAATAGTTTACCTAATTAGATTAGATATCAGATTATTAATATTTTAAAGAAAGGCGAATTAATGCCAAAACAATAATGAACCATTATCGATTAGCTAGTATTTATAATTCCTCTTCCTGTGTAATAGGGTGGTCAGTTTATACAATAAAATGAAACAGACGTAATATGGTCCCAAGTTAAAAGACTTTTGTCAGTTCTTGTGAATTAGCTTCAGTGAAAAGAGCTTACGATAACAGGAAAATATAAAAACAGGTTAGTACATTTCATACTTTACTATATGATATACGGAAATAGTAATAACAATAACAATGTATTCTGAAATGCCAATATTGAAAAGTATGACAAATTTTGTGAGTAGTAAATCAAAAATGAGTAGAAGTTATAGTCCGAAATGTTCACATGTACACATCGGATAAAATGGTGCTGGTGTTGCTGATTTATGAGATTTAAACAATACACTCGAAGTTGAAATAAGGTTTATTTACTACTAGTTTTTAACCGCGGCTTGAGTTTTTTATTATACTTACAACAGAATATTTCGCAGATGGCCACACACAATATCTGGATGGACAACTCACACAATATCTTTATAAATTATAACCTATGTGTTATTATGATGTATAAACTATATTATTGTAAAATTTCATTAAAATGTACTCAGTAGTTTTTGCGTGAAAGAGTAACAAAAATCCATCCATGCATACATACTTTCCCGTTTATAATATTAGTAAGGATACAAGCATGCGACCCATATCGTTTAACGGTTTAAAACGTCCATTTTGAGGAGTCGAGTCTCTGTTTATAAATTCTTATAAACAGAGACTCTTCGCATAATATAGTTCATTGATTTCTCCATTTTTCAGATTCCTAATGTCTAAAAATCATTGTATCACGTTTGTGTCTAGTATACGGTGACAGGCTAATCATTTATCATCATTAGGATTCAGGTGGTTTATGTCGCTTGGATGATTATTTTCAACATAAGCACTTAAATTTCGATACTCTTCAACAAATTGAAATAATTAAAAACTAAAAATGGTTTTCATCCAATATAGTGCAAAAATTTGTATACCATTAACCCTGTCTGAAGGCATTAAACCTAGATAAGACTTGTTGTCTTGTGATAAAGAAGCATGGTACGAGAATAGCAATGATCAAGTCAGTTTGGATGAAGTCTAACCCCTAATCGACATGAAGTCAAGAAATCGATTAAAAGACGGACCAACAAAAGTTAAAGTTAAACATCTACAGCAAACCTTCAAAATCTTAACAAATAATATACATAAATATTTAATATTTTAAAAAACAGTATATTTTAAATGAATAGGAGTTTTTACCATGTCTTAAATTCAGGTTCATGTCAAAAGTATCAAATGGGCATATTTTGAATAAGAGATCATAATTTTGATATCATAGTTACTGCTGAAAATACGATAAGATTAACCATAAAGAAACGATATTAAACTAGAAAAAGACAAGAAACTCAAGGCGGGATAGCCGCTTCGAAATATTTAGATTGTCTTTTAGTTTTATACAATACATGATAATTTGCAGTTACAACACAGCCTTCATCTTTGATCATGACGGTATTCAAAATCAAAATCAAATTGTGTGATAACTGAAAATATAAAACAATAATCATATTATAATAAATAATTTTTAAGCAATGTATTTCTTTTAACATACAATTTTGTAAGTAAATATAATATTTGTGTACGAAATACAAAAAATGTTATGATTTAATCGGTCACTTATCATCATATTCGTGCGTTTGTTAGCTTTGCACATAAAATAAAAAATTGTAGATTATTCCTAAATGTAACTTACTTAGTGTGAAAGTAGCGTTATTATTACATTATCTTTTCACGATCACGTCACACAACGTTAAAAATAAAGTGTCTTTCTCGAATCCTCAAAGCAGAATCCAATTACAGGTGTACCCAATTTGTTCCTTAATTATAATTGTAATTTAATCAATAAATAGACTATACGTAGTATCTGTGCGAGTTATTAATAGAAACGCTTTATTAATATTAAATTTTGAAATATATTTTGGCTTAATTTAACAGTCTTCATTACTCTACAATTCTTTGCTTGTATATTACTAGCGACCTGCCCCGGCTTTGCACTGGTGCAATGTATTATCCACATAAACCAACAAGATCCGTTACGTTGTTTTAAAGATCTAACCGTACATAGGGACAGAGAGACTGGGGGATGACTTTGTTTTATACTATGTAGTACAATTTTCTCTTTTGACGGTTAAACTACTAACCTAAAACCTTCTTACACGTAAATCAAACATAAGACTAACGAAGGACTTTCCGTTACAGATCGGTATTATAATGGACGTGAAAAATGATACCGGCGCCTCGTTGCTGTCCCCAGGCGGCCCGAGAGAATGAGATCCAGCTATGGACGCGACAACCGGCTTTAACGCGCACGGAATAGAGATGGATATTCCGGAGCGCAGACAGTGCGCGGACCAATGCCGGAACGTGAGCCGGCCGGACCTTTTCCCGTCAGAGGCGTATTTTGATCGCGTCTTCATCGACAACGTGACTGACGAGGAGGCGACATACAGAACGATCGTCGGTACAAACCTCGATCTGAACGATACATTAAGCGACTTCTATAGTGCGGATCGAACGTTAAACGTCACCTACGCTAATTATACGAGTGATAGCCCTTGTGCCAGTGGTTATAATCTGTGGGCTTTGCCATTGCTAGTGTTCCCCGTGCTAACTCTGTTTGGCAACGTGCTAGTGATACTAAGCGTGGCACGCGAAAGGAGTCTGCAGACAGCGACGAACTATTTCATAGTGAGCTTGGCGGTTGCTGACCTTCTGGTCGCGGTTGTCGTCATGCCTTTTGGCGTCTATTATTTGGTAAGCGTTCTTTGAAATCAATTAAGCTGTCAGATGAATACAATGTTCTGTACACCACACGCTTAGTCTCGGGCCGAGGTCACCCCATGACTTGTAACATCTTTTTTGTTATTTACCACTATAGAATAATGGTAAATAACAAAAGTTATGGTATCCCTTGATTGTAAGTGATCACCGTAGAAAATTATACGTACATACAGTTTCCAGTTGAGTATTCTCGGCATTTTTGCGAGTCTCCTTCCTTTCGCTCACTTGCCTGTTGATAATTGAGCGCTTGGATATAAAATACATGGACTAAGCCACAGTCTGGTAAATTCATTCATCTGTTAAAATCTAAAGGTACGTTGAGTTCTTCTTGACAAACGTTTTCTCTGAGTGGTACTTTCTCAGTTAGAACACCCCATTCATGCAGCAAGTTAATTACAACGTTAGTGTTCTAGAACACACTAAAGAAAAAACTATGTTAGTGGTCTTTGGCATGCTGTAGTCTATCCAGTGAACAACAGTTTTAAGTAAAATTTTACTTTAATGTGAAATAAATTTAAAGAGAATTTCAAATATTTTAAGGCCATATATAAACGCCGAGCACACGTGCTACTTTAATTGTCAAAAGTCTGTAGTATAGTGAAACTGGCAAATTACATTTAAATGGATAAAGCTGGTGAAAGAAATATGAGAGTAAGTAACAAATACAGTAATGGAAGAAATTCATAGTCATTGAGTAACATTTTCACAGTACTTCAATGTTAAGCTCGTAAAAGGTTTGTCGTAGTCTCTCGTTTTGCATGTTTGGAATTTATTTACTTTATTTGTTTGATCTTTTATTATACGTAATTTTCACAAATATATCTATTTCTGTTTTCCCATACGAATGATCTTAAACAAAACTGTTATGATAATTTCTTGTATTTAGGCATTTACATATTATTATATGAAACTATGTATACGTATCCGTAAACATAGTTTCATTCAGTAAAACTGTAATGATGAAAGGTAGATAATAGTGTCATCAGTGTGAAAATTTTAGTTGTATTTTCATAAACTAAACTTGAGCCAGTTAGGCCAGGTTAGGCCACGCAACAGTCTTCGCTGTTGCACGAACGACAGATCCGTCCAGGTAAGTAACACGACCTCACAGAAGACTGGAGTGAAGTGAAAGTAATACTACTCTTCAGCATTTCATCTGGTGAGTGAGGTAGCCGGGGCCCACTTTATTAAAAGGTGGAAGCGCATCCGCAACCCTACGGGTGCTGCAAATGCCAATGGTTAGCGGTTATCACTTAGCATCAGGTAAACCGCCAGCTCGTGTGCCACCATCTCTCACATAACAGAGAAAAAAAACTCATTCAGGTGCCTAAAAGAACAACGTACAGAGTTGCTTAATGTAAATTGCTGCGGGATACAAAGAAGAAGACTAAACTCCATAATGTAGACTCATAAAAAAAATTGTTCCGCTTTACATTACATGAAATTTATAAGTGGATGTGATGTGTGTAACACAGTAAGATAGAACGTATGATACGGAAAGAGCAATGTCTATAGAATTGCAATCTAGTTACAACAATTGGCGTGATTTGAGTGCCTCAGTGTCATAATATATCTTATTGGTACATAATATCATTGTTTGTCCATGCTTTAATAGTTTAATGGTGAATGGGGCCTGCCGGCAGTGGTTTGCGACTGCTACATCGCCATGGATGTCACGTGTTCTACCTCAAGCATCTTCAATTTAGTCGCCATATCCGTTGACAGGTGATTAAAAGATCGACCGTCGAGGTTATATAAATTTTATATAAATATATATAAATTTTGTTCTTATACGGGCGGCTTCAATATTCTATCTACTGATGATACATTTGGTTAGTGGAGATAGAATTTTGACGTAAGTATTATGGAGCTAATGTCAAATGCCAATTGCTAGTAAAATAAAATAGAGTAACGGCCTGTGCATGTCCCACAGCTGGGCAAAAGCCTCCTCTGTAAACTACAGCTAGTCCACCACGCGACCCCACTGATAATTGGCGGACTTCACATGTTCTCGAGATATTTTTTATTATTTTGAAAATACGCAGGTTTCCTCTTTGTCGATGTCTTTCTTCTACCCCGAGAACGTAATAAGTAACCAAATCAATAAAAAGAATATTGAAACTGGCGGATAGTCAAACGTTTAATAAGCGCAAGATTTCGTATAATTGTTTATACAAATCTAGCAATTTATTACAACTTTATTAGATGGATTAAAAACTGAAATTTTCATAAATATTTCGAAAAGAACATAGTCAAATTTTCGATTGCGATCAAATTGCGATTAAATTTGATAAACCATAAAATTATAGGCATATTATTCGTTGTCTGTATTATCACCGCTAAGATTCAAACGACTCGATCGGCATAGTGGATAGTAAACTTGTCTCTTGCGCCAGAAGATTCGATTGGGTTGGGTTCGATACCCACTACTGGAAAACTATTGTGTGAGGAACAGAGTTTTTTTATAGCTTTTTGTGTGTTTATATATATGTATGTATTTATTAATAAAATAAAAGGACGTTTATGTTTACCTAGTACCTATACAAGCTTTGCTTAGTTTGGAACTAGATAACATTGTGTAAAAAAAATTCCTGGAATATATTCAAACATTAGTCATACTTACAGATATATCGCGGTAACGCAACCGATTAAGTACGCGAAGCACAAAAGTAATGCTCGCGTGTGGCTCATGATTGGTGTCGCTTGGCTTGTCTCTGGAGCCATAGGCTCCCCTGTAGTCCTGGGCCTTAACAACACCCCTGACCGTAGCCCCAGCGCGTGCCTATTCAACAGCACTGACTACGTAATCTACTCGTCGCTAGGCTCCTTCTACATACCCTGCATCATTATGATGTTCCTTTACTACAATATTTTTAAGGTAAGAAAGTTTTATTTCTTTTACATTAATACCTTTAACTCAATAAAAATAATTTACTTTTGTTATTGCAAAATTGTTAAATGAACGTATAATTCCATCAGCTACATTTGTGTCTGCAATATTTTTAATGGAGTTACATCTTGATGAACGAAAGTTGTAAATATTATAAATAATATTTAACACACAGCAATCAATTTATTTTTTGTTATAAACATCTAATATGGATTCATAAAATTTTTTAAGGCCATTCGCCAAAGAGCAAAAAAGCAACGCACAGCGAAGAAGACTGCGTCTGCAGTTGGCTCGACAGTCTCCAGTGGTACCGCGGCAGTAGTTATCGAGAACGCATCGTACAAACAGCGAACAAACGACAGCGGCTGTATGATGCAGGATGACAGACCAACAAATACTGCATCTGGCAGCAACGAGGACGACGATGACGAGAAGTAAGACACAAAATGTTTTGCGTTGCGATTCAACCCTATCGTTATGAGCGAAAATTCAGCTTGGGACATAGTTTAACTATTTACTCCAATATGGACTAGGAGATTTACAATACAATACAATACAATACAATAAACTTTATTTGTAAAAAAAATGATTGTACAAATACAACTTGATGTTATGTCATATCCTTTTGAAATATATTTAAAAATATTTTATTTATAATTTAGAAGATAAGGGTTTTCGCGTGATGTTTTTGTTCAATGCTGAGCATATAGTAAACGAAGACTGACAATTGCATTTTACTATTCCATTGATGCCAGATTGCTCGAATGTTATTGTATGTTATATTATGTTATCCATATATGTCTCGAAATTTATAAGTAATAACAAAATAGTATCATAAATAAAATGATTTGATAACTTTAATTGTGACTTGATAAGTGTTAGAACATAACATCAATCTCTCCTCCTTCACATGAAAAAAATTATAAACGTAGTGACACTGTGATCGTTCATGGCAAGTCATCACTGCATTCGATCTTGTTTCTGGACTATCCTTCTTACCTGAACATTAGAGCCGTTAAAGAGGATGATGAAAATAAGCAACTTACCTCTGATCATGTAAGTTGAATTGGTCTTGTTAATAATTAGCATAGGTCCTATTCTTCCAGTTTTGATCGCACCGAGATGGGAGTATACGCGGAGGAGTTGGCCAATACGAGGTCAACGAGATTTATGCTTGCCGCGGTAGTTGAAGAAACTGGTTTGTAAGTAAAAGTTTAAGGACGCCAGCTTTTGCCTAAAATAAAATACAATAGTAACAAAAGTGACTAATTGGCTACGGTTTCTTCTAAAAATCAATGGCTGCATGTATATCTTTTAAAATAGATTTTACATTTACTGTGCTGATGGTCATATTTATTAATAGTACCTGATAGACCGGTTTTTTTTTTGTAAATCGTGTATTTCGGAAACTACATTTAGATACAAATTACTGAGTAATGAAATATGCATAATATTTTTCGATCTTACCGACCTAATAATAAGAAAATATGAAGTGGTGTTTTTCACAAAAGAAACAACCTAAAAAAGGGAAAAAATAACAAAATCATCTGGATCAACAAAAAATTAAAAATAAAGTAAAAAAAATGATCGTGACACGAACCACGGCCGTCTGTTTTGTGGCCGCCCGATTACCGACCGAGCTATTATAACATTTTTTTTGCGGGGAATTTTACCATATTCGAATGATATTTTTCATTCCCTGAAAACAGGGATAAAAGGACATTTTCTAAAAATGAAACCTAGCTAGATCGAATTTTCGTCCCCGAATCTACGCACATACAAAATTTTATGAAAATCGCTGGAGCCGTTTCCGAGATTCCGATTATGTATATACAAGAATTGTACGTTTAAAGGATAAGATTATTAGTTTCCAAATCTAGTATAACGTAATGTAGTGGGATATTATTAGAATACGCAATTCTATTGTTTCCAATTCGGCTAATGGCTGATAAGGTTAAATTTGAGATCGAATGCAGTGTGGTCGATACGCCATATTTGTTATTTTGATACCTTTCTAACTTTCAGATGCAACAATAATTGCGGCTGCAAGCCATGAATATATAGTAATCTTTACAAAGAAAAGATCCTTTTGAGCAACTTTGCGTAGAACAATAGATACATCTAAGTTCATAGCTTAGTATTATGTCACCGTCAATATAGTTAATAAAAATACGAGTAGTAACATAGGACAATCAATTTCTCTTTAAGCGTTGTCGAATTTTTAAAGCTTTTGCTTCTCGCTTGTTTGTTTCCTAACCAATATCAAATCAAATAATAAGTGGCAAAAAAGCAGTAGATAAATTACTATTTGAGACACGGTCTGTTATGTCTTTAAAATTTTTTGTGTGATGACTGCGATTTTGCCTTTTGCGCCTATTCTTAATATGTTATTATAAAATCTTTTTCATTCTTACAAATGACCATTTTTGTCACAATGATCAAATACATTTTACATTACAGAAATAGTCATACAGATTTTGTAAATTTCCTTTACTAGGATCATGGCTAACTTAGCATCACCGATACCAATGATGGACCCGAATACAAACAATGATTCGGGCTATGTGCCTTCAAACGTGGACGGAGATAAGGAGCACACGCCGCCACCCTCTCCGAATCACAAAGATAAGAAGAAAGAAGAAGGCAATCGTGTACCGAGGAAACCTGAATTAAAGTAAGCATTTACAGATCTCATTTCATTTCGATAGCTGACTGTCAATGGTTTATATATATTCAAAAACTGTAGCTTCCTTACTACCGAACCGATTTAAATAGATGCCTATTAAGACGCCATATGAAGTCAAAACCGATCTGTCAAACCTTTAAAAGACCAGATAAAAGCAGCAAAAAATAATTACGGTTTAATCTTGATCATACATTTTGGTAGAAAATTTTTTCAAGACATGTTTGCATTGAATTTTCTCGATAGACAAAAAAAAACTCGAAATATCCATTAGAACTGAAATTCTAACGAAAATGAAAAAAAAAAACATTGGCTCGGTGTCGGTGACTAATTGAAACAGTCAATGGGTTGCTATAATAAAGACTGTCAATTATCAATCGATGTTTATTATTCAATTACTTTCTAACATAATTGCAATTGGCTTCCACTTTAATTGGACTTGTAAACGATCAATGGCAATCGAAAATGACGTAAATTTGATAATTGCCCTTGATCGTCTCAAGGCCGCTTTACGAAGATAAATAAGTACGGTATAACGAGGTCATTTCTAAATATTACCATAGATTTTATTAATAAACGTAGTCTAAAATGAGTGAACGCTCTGTAAAAAGAGTGACAGTTTAAAGAAAGAGTACTGTCATGATGACTGAATGAGAAGAAAGCGAACCTGAAGTGATTGTGATTAGGAAGATGAAACAGTGTTGAGGTATGAACATTGCAATCTACTGTGTTTGTGATGACAGAAAGAAGCTCAGTCGTCTCAGCAACAGTCCGATGATCACCACGCCACGGAGACGCTTCAAGAGCGCAGCATCGGCGGCACGATTCACAATGTTTCGTGCCAACAGAGCTGGCAAGATGCGGGCAAAGTCCTTTGCGAAAAAAGAAAAAAAGGCTACACAAACTCTGGCAATTGTTCTGGGTATAAGCCATTATATTATCTTTTTATACACCTTGAGACTCTCTTCTAGACTCTTCCATACGTATTATTCGCGCTCAATTCCATACCTATTATGTGCAACACTTGCACACCTATTATTCGCGCTTTGGATGGAAAGTTTTAGTGACATTTCGACATAATTGGTGAGGGTTAAATTATTTCGTAATCATTTTCAGTCATCTTATTGCTGTAATGCTGACTACAATAGAATAAAGTTATAGAAAATTCTAATTCTGTTTATTCTTATACGTTTGTTATCATTGAATCAAGGTTAAATTTTTCATAACATGAAATTAATTCAATTTAATATCAGCCTATCGCTGTCCACTGCGGAACGTAAGTACCATAGTACGCCAACTATCCCGGTCCTGGGCATTTATTATGCTTTCAGAATAAATATAAGAATCCGTTTTATTGTTATTTTAGATAGAACACATTACTATTTTTCGTAGAAGCGTTCAGGCACACAAATTGCACGTTATATTAAAACAATTGCTTTCCCTGCAGGTGTGTTCCTCTTCTGTGGGCGCCATTCTTCACTTGCTCCGTGCTAGATGCCCTCTGCACGAAGTTTGGCCTCGCCTACTCCCCTGGAGTGACAGTCTTCATCTTGACCACGTGGCTGGGGTACATCAACTCCTTCCTCAATCCTGTTATTTACACTATCTTCAATCCGGAATTCCGGAAGGCATTTCGGAAAATACTACATTTTGGCACATAGCCCACCGACTTTTATTTTGTGTACACTTAATTTTCGTGCACTTCTACAGATCTATGGATCTTATAAAATAAACTATTACATAACACTTGACGTGGTGTTTTTATGTTATGGTGTGATTTAAAAGTTCATTTGACTGTGAATACATATTAAAGTTTGTCACAGAACTCATAACTTAACTTTACATAAATTGCTTTATTAACATCAACAAAAAAATATATTGTATATAACAGGTATCATAGTGAATTCTTTAAGTTACAGATTCCTGTTATTAATATTGTATTTATTTAAGTTTGGAATAAGCATTCAAAGCAATCTAACATATTGTAAATCTATGCGTTCTTCTGCTAATTGAAAATTATTGAGAATTTATTGATAAATGTAAATTTATTGCAATATGTTAAATAAAGCCCATCGACGCGATATTTTGATGACATCAGAAATTTAATGTACACCATAAAATTATTTATAGCACACGTACATAATAACTCCAATATTTATTTTGTACTTTATTATAATAATAAAAAATAGGAAGGTGCTCGTGTTAAACTTCAATTCATAGAATCTTTCTGCTTTATTCCTTGTACAAATATACTTTCTAATCTTACACGGTGCGAGATGGAGTCCGCACTATTGACTCGGCAGAAAGTGTTTGAATTTCTTACACTACAGAAAGTATTTAAATAACTTTACATCACACATTATGTCCCGAATCCAAACGAATTAGGTTTTTCCCCTCGTCGAAGAGTTAATAAGATTAATACTTTAAGGTACAAAATATAATGCAGATATTTTTGTATGCTATTGTTACATGTTCCAACTCCTATGACCTTCTAAAAACTAATTAAGTGTATATATTGTAGACACATATGTATATATAGTTCGTTTACTTCCTGTGGTTGTGATATGTTTAGGATATGAGTTATTTAAACCCTTGTATAAGTGTCTTGTTTAATGTATATAAATAACTGTCTTGTTTATTTGGCATTGATATTAAATATTTTCTTACAATGTGAATACCTATCAATCCTGCCCCTATAATCAGGCATCTCACTTCCGTTCTTATTTTATCCCTTCACTTCCGATCCTATGTTACCCTTATCATGCTCAATTAGTGTTGTTAGCGATACTATTTCCTTCATGTTTGGCATGAGATCGATGTTGATTCATTCTATTTTAAAATAATGTAGTTTATATCAATGGTGTCTAACTCACGAGAGAAACATCCCCATAAAATATACTCCTCAAATTATAGATAGAAACTCTTATCCTATATCTATATACATGGTCTTGCAAAACTCAAATTAAATGCGGTGGCGGGTAGTGGGAAACTTTAAGAATATACACTTACTATTGTTTAGTTAATTTGTTCAAGGTGTAATCTCTTTTTTTCATTTGCATTTTATTGAATCACATCATTCTGCATATGCGTAAAAAGTTGATAATCATACCAATATAGCAGTAAAAAAATTAAATTCCACTGGGATCCTATCTTAGGACGAATTTAACATGAGTTCAATTTACAATTGAATCTAGAAAATATGGAGTATGACGTAGACAATGGTCTAAGGAACAGGGTAAGTTGGCAAGAAAACAGGACAACGATATAGTTTCAATTTTAAATCGCGATGATTCTCTTGCTAAAGAAAGTAATGAGGTTTCAAAATAGTGCTTTATTAAGTATATTCTAGATTGGTTCTACATTGAATGTATTATTGTCATTCAATGTAGAACCAATCTAGAACGCTAAATACAGCAGACTACACAAATTTAATCAGTTATACAAGTGCAATTACCAAACTGATCTTGTATTCTCAACGCACAATTATATAATAAATAGAAGTACTATTTATTCATTTCAAAAAAGAAAATAAGGTGAAACTGCAATAATTTTGTGATCATGAGATCAACAAAAGAAAACAGGAGATTTGATTCGTTGACTTCTTTTAATTGTACAGCAGATTATAAATTCGTTTTCAATGTCGTCTTTCTTAATGAACCTGATTCCAAAAAATTTTAAATAACTAAAATTCAAAATCTAGCGTATTTTATTATAATATAAACAAATAATATTAATCTTTTCGATATGCATAAATATACTATCGAAAAATATCCCCTTGTATGCTCATGAACCCTTTTTGTATATTCATTATATACTATGGCCTACCACGTCTTCTTATGTAAGCTTTATTTAATAGATAAAAAAACTGATGCTACCAGCTATTAAATGTCTATATTTACGAACAGTTCCCTAGTTTTAATGATTGTGAATAATAGTCAGTAATCTATATATTTTATTACATTACCAAAGATATAGAGTTGTACAAAAGTGCGGATGTTACCAATGTATAATATGTTTAGTGGTTGTTAGATAATGGTGTTGTAAAAATTATGTCTATAAATAAATTTAATGTGATAAACTCGACTTTCATCTTATATTTTTGTAACCATGTTCCAGCCTTCCTTCTACAAATTATTATTCTATATTTAAAACAGAGTATGACACTCAGACTCACGGGTAAGTTTGGGTTTTGGCTGATGGAAATGAAAGTTTTTATTTTAATTATAGAAGCTGGTTATATTGTTATTTATACATATATAACCAGCTATATTCCATGTATTTTTGACGTCTACGAAATGCCATGCGATTTAAGCAAAATCCTACATTGGGGATATGAGACGCAACATCAATTCCTCAGCTCACTGAAAACGGTTTGACTCATATTGGTACCTGGTATTCTAATTCGTATTTTTTTGTTCAATTTACATACCATACCATAAAAGGTATGATTGTTGTTTTCTCCATGTTATCTATACTGAAAATATCATTTAGCATAGTTAACTCTCCAAATATTATAAGCTTATTTGAAGCCCGCTTTCATCTTAATAACTTGTAAAAGCCTTCGCTTCAGACCTCTTAATACAAAGTTCAGTAATTTCCGATCACTTTGTAACGTTACGAAACACATGTTCCTTGTCTTAAGTTTTAATATTCACTTAAAAAGTTCTTCTTAAAATAAAATTTCTTTCCATCAAAACTCTTTGTAACAAGTTTCTCCTGGATGTAAAAATACTACAGTAAATGTAGTAGAAACAGAAAAATATATTGAAAAGTCGATTTTTAAATGAACAAGATTGTTCATGATATTCCAGCGCTCTGTATTATACTTCAAAAACCCGACATTACCGTGACACAATAACACAAGGATGTATTTATAGCTTTCAAAGGAAAGCCACTCAACGAGAAAACATTTCAAAGGATTTTTTCTATACAATAAGTACAACGGTATTTATGGTTCTGCGGTAACCTATAAATTATAAGCCATCTATTTATTTTCATGCCATCAATTCACTGCTTTGAATAGAAAATGTATGCTGGAAGCTGAAAGTGTTTGGTTCAACAAATAAAGGCTTAAATGAAATTTCGCTAATAGTGCCGTATGATTTATACTATTAATGATAGTAATATGACTGTAATTTTTATTATCTATTGGGGTCCCACCAACATACAAAATATATTACGACCGCATTCTTTTCACTACTAATCCTAAACCATTTTTCCTTACCGCTTTCATAGGCAACGATATCCGTTATAAATTTATTGATTGATTTCCATCAGCGTGTAAATCGTTCATTTTGCTTAGTGGTTAAAGCGGCGAAAAAACATTTTGACCCAATTTCTAAAAAAATAAAAAAAATTATGTCAATTCAACAACTCTGGAAAGCTTTACAGAGGCAAATCTTACATAGTTAACTACAGAGACAACGCTTGGCCGACTTCTTATTTTATTTCTCCTTTTTTGCACGTCCAACGAACTCCCCGAGTTCGCTGACCAGAGGCCATGGGAACTAGGAGAAACCAGCGCTAATAAGCAGCAAGCCTCCCAGCCCTCAGCGGCGGACCAGGTCTGTGGACTCCGCCGCTCACCACGTTTCGACCGCGGAGGGTGGGAAGAAATTCGTATCGCAATAACGACAATTCTCTTCCCCACGGCCCCACCACTACTGCATCAGCGGTGTTGCCCCGCCAAGTTGCGGAGGATAGGTGGCCCAACGCAATATCGACAACTCCTCTTCGGTTGTAGAAGACAGAATAGTGCCTCTTTCTCTACCACACTCCCCCGCACCCCCCAGTACGCTTCCATAGTAGGCTCAATGAACATCGAAGTGACTGTCACGGACGTTTTAAAAATAGTTGGATGTTTAAACACCTGGCGTTACACCCTAATCCAAAATCCCTACCCCGTAACAATATATTGCTTATGTGAATATGGTTAATAAACTGGAAATATTTCGTATACGGTTTTCCAATTTATAAATTTATCAACCGTCACCGTTCCGTCTGTCGCTCCCTCACCAAAGAGCAAAAATTCACATCGTTTTTTATATTTCTTTGTACACTTCATGTTTAAATCGTTTTGTTTTTGATATAACCTGAATTACATTATCTTGAAAATTTTGGAATTTTAATTTGAGTCTGAAGGTCTTTAAATTATCGCGACCAACCATAGCATAATTAATCACACTGTATGTGGCATTTTTTTTTATGTACTGAGTTCTGTATTTCGATATAAATATCATCACTACATAGTATAAAACAAAGTCGTCCCGCTGTCTGTCTGTCCCTATGTATCTTTAAAACTACACAACTGATCTTGATGCAGTTTTTTTTTACTAGATAGTGATTAAAGAGGAAGCTTTATATGCACAATAATATAATATAATAACAATAATACATGGCACCCGTACGAAGCCGGGGCGGGTCGCTAGTATTATATAATGTAGAACTTTTTTGTACGATAATCTTAAGTCTATTGTATTGTGTGATAAGGA